GGGGGGGGGGGGGGGGTGACTCATGGGTAAGATAGGCGGCATATGTAATATTTTACTGCGTGGTTGCGTCGATTAATGCCGCCACGCAATACTAAATAACTCACGCCGGCTTGGTGCAGTAAGTATCGTCCAGAACATGGAACTTTTCAAACGACCAAGGTGCGAAATAGAAGTTGCGCCCGAACCAACCTGCATACCGTATCTACTGCCGTAGTGGTTGGTATTGGAGGTGTAGATAACTTCTCTAACCTACCCAACGTCAGGTAGGTACAATGCACGGCGGCAGAGACACCGTAATAACAAGGTAAACTTGAACCACAAACCGTACGGAAACATAGCTGCGGCACATATGCAGGAAACGAAGGATTCGGTATAACCGTGAATCCGTGGTTTGTGGAAGCGTACCGGAAATTTCGTGAAAGAGCGGCGAGAGACAAAAAAGGGTATACGGGGGTATAGCTATGTACAGGGTACAGAGAAGAGAGAGAGGTTGGCAGAAGCTTTTGGGATCCTTGGGAAGCCGAGGACCTCGAAGGGAAAAACGTTGCATCGCCCGCAAAGGCAGTGCAGCAAAGCAGCAGCGAGAGAAAAGAGTTTTCGTTTGGGACTTGATCGAATTTTGGTCCTAGACACGCCAGAGTGATGAACAACGGCAACAACCTGCAGCAGCAGGGTCAGGGTCCCCCCCAGCAGCTGCAGCCAGCGCAGCCAGCGCAGCCAGCGCCACCTCCACCGCCACCACCGCCGCCTCCCAACGGACCACCGCCCGCAGCTAACCAACAACAGAGCAGCGGCGGCGGAGGAGGAGCAGCAGCGGCAGCTCCCCACGGTGGCGGACAGGCAGTAGCAGCAGGAAACCAGCCAGCAGGGGCGGTGGGAAACCAACAGGCGGCGGGAAACAACAACGCGCCCCCCGCAGCAGGAGGAGACCAGAATGCGGGCGGAGCCGCGCCAGCCGGGCTGGGAGGCCCACCTCCCCCCATCAACCCAGTCCAGCTACTGCTGCAGATGTCTGTACTCCTAAAAGAGCAAAGCGATCGACTCGGCAACCTGGAGCTCAGGATGCAGCAACAGCAGCAGCAGCACCCGCAGTACCAACAGCAGCAGCAGCAGCAACAGCAGCAACAGCAGCAGCAGCAGTACCAGCAGCAGCAGCAGCTCCACCAGCAACAGCAGCATCAGCAGCAGCCGCAGCAGCCTGGCCACCTCCCCCCTGCCGGCCTCCAGCAGCAAGGCCAGCCCCAGCCTATTAATCTCCCGCTAGGCGGCCAGCTCGTGCTACAGCCCCAGCAAGCACAGGCTCTGGGCCCAAATATTAACGTGTTAAACCAGGGCCTTAACACCCAGGTACAAAAGGAGAGGTTTCGCCGCGACACGAAGGCATGGGGAGACGAGCCCGCGGCGACGCTGTTTCTGCTGCGCGGTGGGTGGTTCGTTGGCACCACGCTGTCAAAGAACGCAATTGCCCAGCTGCTCCGCAAAGTGGCCTATCCCGACGCCGAAATGATCGATTCGTTGACGACCATCGCCAACGTCGATATCGCCAAGTTCTCCCCACCCCTCCCTACCGGGTGGACCCCGCAGCCACGCGACTTCATCGTTCACCTCGAGACGTTCGCGAAAGCGTTCTTCGCCGTGCTGGACCATGGTACACACGCCGCAGGCGAACCATCGACCGGCCGCAGGCAACAGTTGAAAGCCGAGATCAGCCGCATTGTGTCCAACGCCCGGGACTACCTCAGCCTTCATTCGGCGGAAATCATGGGTCAAGAAGCAGCGGTGAAGACGCGCCTGATCACCGACACCAACACCGACATCAACGAGTATCTTGGGAACATCTCAGACCTTGGCGCCGCGATCCGCGCCGACCACGACATATCCCCGCCGGCGGCTGACGACGTGCAACCCGTCCCCCCCCCTGCGTTTTCGCGGCTGCGCGGCCTCACCGCGGAAGGCAACGCCAACGCCATCGTCGGAAAGCTGAACAACGGCCTGGCCGGGCTCCCGCAGCCACAGAAGAGGAAAGCGTCAGCGAGCAGCGCCACGAGCGGTCATACAGCATCCCGCCCGCGGATAACCGCAGCACCCGTCGCCAACCAACACGCGGTGGCGACGCTGTCCCCGTTCCAGCAGGACCTCCTCACGTGGGGAACCCCCCACCGCGCGTGTCACTCCCACTGGAAAGGACAAAAGTGCACCCGCCCGCATTGCGCCCTCAACCACGTACAGGTTCACCCCAGCGTCGCCCCCCCCGGTCCGCCGCCCATAGCGCCAGTCCGGGGCCCCCGCACCCGCGACCGCCCTTGCCCCTGCCCCCGCACCCGCCCCTGCCCCCGCTGCACCACGCCCCGTAGTCGCCCGTTACAGCAACAACTACAGGCCACAAGGAGCAGCAGGTGCCAACTCCTGACAATACGGGCCCCATCCAGAGGTGGGGCCAACGCGGGCGAGGAGGGCGGATGACCCCACGGTAGCAGCTTTTGTAGACAGGAGCAGGACCGTGGCGCTAACTGAAGCGCCTCTTCCCGGGTTGGTGGCACCGAACGTGTTCTACGGTGAGAGAAGAAGTACCCGCCCGAGTAAATCAAGTACGAGTAGTGAGGAACATGAAATTACTGCAGACCCAGAGCTATTGGACCCCTCTAACGAAGGAGTAGAACAACCGTGTACTCGTAGAAGTACCAGCCAAAGTAGACCACGCACCAATAGTGATGAACATGAAATTACTGCAGAACCAGCGCTAATGGACCCCTCTAACCAAGGAGTAGAACAACCGTGCGCTAGACTTGAACAAGTGAGAGAAAAAGATCCCCGTAACACGGGAGAAAACAATAGACCCGGCGTGAACGCTGGAAAAGACCCCCGTTACCGGGGAGAAAAAGACCCCTCGCACCAGGGAGAAGATCGCAAGAGTGCTAGACCCAATACGTGTATTGGAGACAAAGACAGAGAAAGACCTAGTGGGAACACTAGAGAAGACCCCCGTTACCGGGGAGAAAAAGATCCCTCGCACCAGGGAGAAGATCGCAAGAGTGCTAGACCCAATACGTGTATTGGAGACAAAGACAGAGAAAGACCTAGTGGGAACACTAGAGAAGACCCCCGTTACCGGGGAGAAAAAGACCCCTCGCACCAGGGAGAAGATCGCAAGAGTGCTAGACCCAATACGTGTATTGGAGACAAAGACAGAGAAAGACCTAGTGGAAACACTAGAGAAGACCCCCGTTACCGGGGAGAAAAAGACCCCTCGCACCAGGGAGAAGACCACAAGAGTGCTAGACCCAATACGTGTATTGGAGACAAAGACATAGAAAGACCTAGTGGTAACACTAGAGAAGACCCCCGTTACCGGGGAGAAAAAGACCGCTCGCACCAGGGAGAAGATCACAAGAGTGCTAGACCCAATACGTGTATTGGAGACAAAGACAGAGAAAGACCTAGTGGAAACACTAGAGAAGACCCCTCTTACCGGGGAGAAAAAGACCCCTCGCACCAGGGAGAAGATCGCAAGAGTGCTAGACCCAATACGTGTATTGGAGACAAAGACCCCTACGGCAAGAGGGACTCGGCTAGTGACGGGTCGGCAGCCTTGCCACCTCCTTATGGGAAGCTACTGGCTGAAATGTGGAGAGAACAAAAGGAATGCCTAGCACGTGGTACACGACTTGACGAAAAACAGGAAATCATTCACGAACTTGCTAAGACTGGTAGCATGCTTCTAAAAACGAACGACGGAAAGTTGGGAGACGTCGCGAGGGAAATCGGCGGCACCTTGGTGTCACCGCCGCTAAACCTGAGCGACCTCGAACAACACTTCGGAACCAAAAAACACTTCCCAGACTTAGCGAATCTCATAGACATCGTAGACAACGGTGTGCCAGCAAAAACGCACGACAGCCCGCCTAACCTCGAGAGCGCTCTTCGATACGGAAATCACAGTACGATAGACGCCCACACGGAACTGGTGTGGAAGAAGCTGATAGACGACGTCGAACAGAACAGATGCCTCGTATTCGACGTAGCGGACGCGGCTCGCATGAAGGGCGTTCGCGTATCGCCGCTAGGAGCCGTGGTAGGAAAAAAAATCAGAATCATCAACGATTTTTCTTTTGACCCCAAACTAATGCGCGGACAGAAGGGAGGAGTCAACGTGGATACGGTAACAGAAGAAGTACCCGACTGTTTGTGCGGAGAGACTCTACCTGCTTTCCTTGCTGAAATAACGCGATTGAGAGTCAAATGGCCTGACAAGAGGATACTAGTGTCCACAGCGGACGTGAACAACGCTTACCGAAACGTGAGAGTTGCGCCAGACGATGCACAAAAATTCTGCTATGTGATAGGAGACGTACTAGTCGCCGACTTTAGACTGACGTTTGGATGGGCAGGTTCGCCCGGTTTTTGGGGAGTCATGGCGTCCGCTGCTGAACACTCACACCGCAACACCAACGTACACAACGTACAACTAGTAGACGAAGGGATCGAAATGATGTCACATGTAAAAATAGTCGAGCCGTGGGAAGACGGACCACCCGCCCGAGTGCCCCGAGACGCCAATGTGAAACCGCATGACGGAGGCGGACCCCACGACGATTTCTCGTGCGGGGTGTACGTAGACGATTTCGCTTTACTGAAAGTACAACATGCGCCGGACGACGCTTCAGCGCTGGTAGCCTCCGCGTCATTAGCGTCTGACTGTGTGAGACTCTTCGGGCCAGCAGAGGCGGGCCAAACGCCCATTCTCGCCCCGAAGAAAAGCACAGACTGGAACACGAAAGTGGACTTTCTTGGACACACGATAGACACCCATAAAATGACGATCGCAACAACACATGAGAGGATCGATGCGATAAGGACCGCGCTAGAGAACGATTGGCCACAGACCAGAGAATTCGCTAGTGTGCAAGAAGTCCTGAGTATGGCTGGAAAACTCTGGAACATGACATATGTCATGAGGGCGGGGAAATATTTCGTGTGGCACCTCTTACGCCTCACTGGCCTACACGACAAGGCTAACAGACGGTCGAGAGAGAAGAGGCAGGTACGTCTCGGTTGGGAGTTCCATGGAGACCTAGACTTCTGGAGATGGGCGCTGAAAGTTAAACTGGCGGAGAAAGGAGAGTCACTTAGCGCGTTTTTCTTTAACCACGTCCAACGCACGCCTTTCCGTCACTACCTGTCTGATGCTAGCTTCGACGCAGTCGGCGGACACTGTCCCGAACTAAAGGTATTCTGGCGGTATCGATTTAAACCCGCGTTTACCGCGGAGCTGAAAAGGAAAGCGGAAGCCAAAGAAACCAGCGCGATCACGATCAACACGCTAGAACTGCTCGGAATGATAATTACATGTTGGGTGGTCCAAATGGTCGTGGGAGAAAAGCCGACGCAACACGGACAAGCTATCATGATGAGGGGAGACAATATGTCGGCGGTGTCGTGGGTGAACAGATGTGGGGGCTCGAGAGACAGGCGAGCGGGACTGCTCATGAGACTGCTTGGTCGCATGGAGATTGAAAACGGATGGTGTCATGTGGCAAAACACATCCCGGGACGCGAGAATACCCTCGCGGACGGGATATCTAGATGGAAGTCAGAGGACGTAGAAGTCAATGTGGAAAGACTCACGCATGATAATAACTGGCGAATGCAAGACATCGGAGACACCGGAAGAGAGCTGATTGAAATGATACTGCAAGAGAAACTCCAGAACCAAAGAATGGATGGCCTCGTATGGAGCCGCATGGTAAGCGTGTAAAGAAAAGAAGTAATAAGAGTAAGACGAGAATGATGGGCAAAAGAACTAAAGAAGGTGTAATGACCCTAACTGTGTTCAAGTACAGGAAGCGAACACGGGACGAAGGGAACGAGCGATGAAGGCGAAAGGCTCCTCAGGATAATGGAGCACGGCTCCCTGAACGCGAGCACGCTGAAAGGATACCACAGCAAGTGGGACACGTGGACAGATGAAAGAGCTAAAGCGAATCTGAGTCCATGGTTGTACGAGGAGGACGGCGTGGATAGCGCAGTGAGAGAGCTGACTGTGTTTATGGCATCGAGGTGCTTAGTGTATAAGAACCAGAGCCAAACGGTGAAGGGGTACCTCGCGGCTATCAAGTACTTCCATAAACTGTACGCAGGCTGGGAGCTGCCCACGTCGCACTTCAGAGTGGCAGCTGTTGGGAACGCAATAGACAGACTGCATGCGAGGGCAGAGACGAAACAGTTGGTAAGGCAACCGCTCACCGTGCCGATGATTATAGCAGGGAGAGAAAGAGCGCTGACGGATGTTTTCAGACTAGTGACGTGGATGGGGATCGCTCTCTCGTATTTCTTGCTGTGCCGAGCGTCTGAGCTGTGGGCCTACCACAACGGATTAGTACACGCCGATTTTTGTCTTACGAGGGGGAACCTCGTATTCTTCGAAGGATCGTGTCGGCTAGCGTGGGACGAAAGAAGGCGGGCAGACAGAGTAGAAGTGACTTTTCGCGCATCAAAAGCGGACCAAAAGAGGCGAGGCGCGGTAGTGACGAGAGAGAGAGTAACGCGGGACGAGGAAGTGGGACAGATGGCTGAGAAGATGGGGGCGCTCGAGATTTTGCTGAATCTGCTTGACGTGCACCCAGAGTTAGGAAGTACCGCGCCGCTCATGCAGTCGGTCAAGCAGGGACGGTGGGCAGTAGTGTCGAGGTCGGAAGCAACAACAGCGTTGAGAGACATGGCGAGAAGAGTAGGAGAAAACCCAACGCACTTCGCGCTACACTCAGGGAGGATAGGTGGTGCGACGCAACTAGCAAAGCAGGGCGCATCGGTTATTCAGATTCAGAGGGCGGGAAGGTGGAAGTCAGGAGCCTTTATGACGTACGTTAGGGCAGGAGGGGAAGGCGCTAATTATGTATCGCGCGCACTAGCGTCTAGTTGAAGGGGAGAAACAGCGTGGACAAGAGCGCCGAATATCGGGCCGCGCAGTGGGATATGACCTGGGCATAGACGTCGGGTTGGCCCGATAAGTGATACCTAGTGAGTCCGAGAGGAAGTCAATGGTTCGGTTCATAGGTTGGATTTTGGTTTTGATATTTCTTGGTTTCGGCGTTTCTGATTTCTTGCCGCTTTTTCTAATAATCCAAATTTCTTGAGCAAATCACAAAACGAAGGATTCGGTATAACCGTGAATCCGTGGTTTGTGGAAGCGTACCGGAAATTTCGTGAAAGAGCGGCGAGAGACAAAAAAGGGTATACGGGGGTATAGCTATGTACAGGGTACAGAGAAGAGAGAGAGGTTGGCAGAAGCTTTTGGGATCCTTGGGAAGCCGAGGACCTCGAAGGGAAAAACGTTGCATCGCCCGCAAAGGCAGTGCAGCAAAGCAGCAGCGAGAGAAAAGAGTTTTCGTTTGGGACTTGATCGAATTTTCCCACCCACCCACCCTGTCGCTCAAGAGAGGAGGGATCAATGGGAAGAGAAAAATCTGTCTAGTGCCAAATTTGTTCTCCAATTTGCGTTGACTTTTGTGTGTATGGGGATATGACCTGGGCATAGACGTCGGGTTGGCCCGATAAGTGATACCTAGTGAGTCCGAGAGGAAGTCAATGGTTCGGTTCATAGGTTGGATTTTGGTTTTGATATTTCTTGGTTTCGGCGTTTCTGATTTCTTGTCGCTTTTTCTAATAATCCAAATTTCTTGAGCAAATCACAAAGCAGGAACATCAATTGGTGGTACGCAGGAGTAGCAACTGCAGGTTGCCTACATAGGACCCGGAACATCAAGAACGGCGCAGCACTACACTGCTGTACCGCAGCTGTACCACAGGAGGAGACGAAAGTGCGACCGCTCGAATGCTCAACTGTCGATTGAAGTCAACACTACTACTGTTGTACCCGGATATTGTTGAGGGGGAATAGGGTCTTGGGCCACCTAAACGAAAAATATGCATATGCATTGTACAATACAACGCTCCGCTTGCTAATAGGCTTTTACTGCCACGACCCCCGTAGTTTCTGCGACATGTCGAAGGTTTGCGATGGGATAGCAATCGGCGGAGCAGCACGTTGACGTACGTAGACTATTGGCCTACATACATACAGCAGTAGTCGTAGTAGGCATCAAGGTACGCAGTGTACGATACAACTATAGGCTGCTTGCTGCGTGACAGGTACAGTATCGAGATCGAGCTGGCTACAACAGCAGTGACACAACAACTTCCTCTGTGTCCGTTTGATTGCGAATGCTTCACCTCTCATACCTGCTAGATCTCTCTGCGAGAGCTTCAGCAACAGCTGCGACATCAGCCTCATATCCTCCTCCTCCATCTTGCCCACCCTGCCGGCCGAGCGACGAATACAATATGCATTCACCACGCTCTGGCCGCCCACACCGATAGCCCCCCCCCCCCCCCCCCCCCCCATATATTCGTAGTTAACTCACTCATCACTCACCCCACACTTTACACTTTATCCTTC